GCACTAAAAAAAGCTCTTATTTCATCCATTTATTCATTATATTTGTGTGCAAATGTATTTTCTTAATTAATGTCATTATTGTAAGATTCATATAAACATATTATACTTATTGATTTTGTTAAATAAAATATTCTAATAATGAGTTCATTGATATGAATATATATTATTTTTATAAAATTATCCTAATAGTTTTTTGTCTTTGTAGATTAGAGGTTAATTTTGGTTGTTATGTTTCGCCTCTCTTTAATTTTGTTTACTTTTAGTATCTACTGTTAAATTATTTTCTTCAATTAACATAATTTTGATAATGTTATCATGATACAATCATATATCATGTTATTAGTGTTAGTTAGTGTTTCAGTTATTGAGACTGGGTCACTAAACTCCTCCACAATTTGTCTCCTAGCCGTCCGGTCTTGCTCCAAACTCTGTTGTTCACTCTTCCGTCCCAGAGGAAATCTGTCAAAGATTCTCCGATGTCAAAGTCAGTACAGGAACCGTTTGGCGATTCAATGAAATAGTAATGAATGTGTAGTAAATGCAACCTGTCTACCACTTACCTCTGACCTATATTTATAGTTTTCGCCATGGGGTTGTGATTAGTGAAAAGTTAATCACGGCCCAATTGCAACCCAATGGCTCTAATCACTATTTACCTTAATCCTAGTCTTAATGACCCAGTTTACCGACCGGCCAGCCTTGCGCAGCCGCCCGTACGGTATACCGTCATTACTCATACGAGTTGAAGGATGAATGGTCGGGTCGCAAGCGTGTAGAGTGTTTATGCTAGTCGTCCAACAATGCTATCAGAAGAGTAAAAAAGACTAAAGAAATGTCGGCGGTTAGATTGGTGTCGGCGTTGCTCTCAGATCGTCCGGTCTGTATGGTACAGTTAATATTGAACAATGTTTAAGTTTTTCTTAGATAATGTTTAAAAATTCATAGAGAAAAATATAGCTAACAGATTTTGTTGATAATAATGCACGAGCAAGGATTACACGAAAAATGTATTCAACTATATAAAAAAAAATATTTGTAATTAGTATTTGAGTGTATATGTTAACTTTGAGAATTGAATTATTATTATTTGTTTGTTGAAAGTTAAACATAACTTAACGTCAAATAATGATTGAAATTTTTTTCTTGAGTTGAAGATTAAAAGCATTGCTAAAAAAAGTATAAAGAGTAACTTTACTTTTAACTTTTTTTTTCTTTGATTTTTTTTTACCATCTTCTTAATTCAAACAGAGCCCAAATACTTGTTTGCAATATTTTTTAATATTCTAATTTCTTCGAAGATTAAAATATATGTGAATATAACATTTTACAAAACCTTAGAGGATAGTCCATTGAGTTTGTGAGTTGATATTTCTTTTCGAAGAAATGTCAAAATTGATTTAAGATTTTCATATTTACAATATCACACTAATAAACTCTTCTACTGTGTTCCTTGTATTTTAGTTGGTACTAGAGTTTGAATTTTAGGATTAGACTCCTAACATCATAGTAAAGATATATCTTGAAAAAGATATGAAAAAAAAATATAAGTTTTTAACTTATCACTTATTTTTAGACCTATCACTCATTTTCTATATTTAGAAAAAGATATGGAAAAATGAAAAGTTGTCAATTGACCAAGTACTTCCAAAGATTTCAAAAATGAGTAATAAAAAGTAAAGAATAATAACATTTTTTAAATACTATTATATAAAAATGCTTGATGTTGTTGAGAAAGAAAATCATATTCTAACTTATGTCAACAACAACAATTACCTTCATGGATATGTATTTGTTTGAAGTGTTTCATTTTTATGTATTTGACAAACTTATAATATAAAATAGAAATTTGTTGTCAAGTGTTCGAAAGGTGTTACGTGACAGGGTGTATTTTTAATTGACATGACATTAAAAACATGTTTTGTGTATTTTTTAATTTGTGAATTAAACCTACATGTCAAATTTGAGAAAAATAATTTCGACAAAACCTGAAATGGCTAAGGTGGAGTAAAAAAAAGGATAAAAGATTGGGTAACGATATTTACAATAAATCATCCAAGAAAAGAAATTTCTTAAAACCAAACATGTTGGTGCCTTGGATTCAATTCTGACACTCTCCTGAACAACACCCGAGCAAGGTTTGCAATTGATTGTTGGTATTCTAATAAAAGAGATTGAAGTAGAACAACACCCTCGGATTTAGAGTGTGGCCTATCTTTAAAAGTTTTTTCCCTTGTCAATGTTGCCAATGTTTGCTTCAAAAACGCCCCACACATGCCAAGCAAACCTATTTTTGGGACTAGCCTGCACTGCTTTCTATTAAAAAGAAGAAAAAAAACATAAGTCACTTTATATTTCTTAATTTCTCCTTTCTCCCACCATCAGGTATCTCAATCAATCTTTCCTCCTTGTTTTCTCATAAATAATTTACTTACATGTTAATTATTAATTTTATTTTATTACAATTTTGAATTACTAACTTTAAAATTATACTTAAGAGTTATACATATTTTGTATCCATACTACTTTTATTATCTTGTTGGTTTAAAACTTATTTAAAGAATTTTAGAAGTTATTTTAATTTAAAAGAATATATAAAACTTGATCATCATATGATAAACAATACTAATCTTATAAACTAAACAAAGTAGCATGTATTTTTTTTAGATTTATTAGCCATATATACAGAAAACTTTCTGCTTTTTTATCAATCAATTGATATAAAATACTCAAGATAATCTATACAAAAATACTTTTTTCCATGCATCTTTTACCACATGACATTAAAAAAAAACTTTGTGAAGGTATATACTAATCATGGTTGCCAGATGACCTACGATATCTTTATCTGCTTGAATATTCCAAACATATTAGTAGACTTTTAGATTGTAAAACAATTCCTTAGACTTATTATGTATGGACCAAGCCGAACTAGTTTATTTCGGACTCCTACTTTTATTTGGAAAAAATAAAAAACTAACCAATTGTAAAAAAAACAAAAAACATCAACATATTTATTGATTAAAAGTTGCTAAGCTCAAACTATAATTAATTAATTAGCAAGGCTTTTCAGTAATCTAATTTAAAATACAAGAGGTTGTACGATTCTATTTAATCGTAACATAATTTGACTTTTTACACAGCTTTTAAAATTGATTACATAATTAAACGCTATAATTCCAAGGGGCGGCTTCAACAGAAAAACAGGTGAATGCAGACAAAAAAATGTTGTTGTTAATTAGTTTCCTTGTATGTCTGTTTCTGTATCAGAGTGAGAAGCAGACGATTAACAAATTTTTGGATTGTTCTGTTAGTTATTATTAAACATGTTAATCTGCTAAAGTAAGATGAGAACAAAAAATTAGTTCCTAGTTTGCCCTCAATGATATATACTGCATAACAGACACTTTAATTTATGCCAAAACAATTAGAAATACAGTCCAGATGATGGAATGAGAATTAATTTATACAAGTGGTGTCACTCTTGTTATTACATCACCATTAATGTAATTTCCATGGATTAATGAAAATACAAGTTTATATTACTCATATTAAATTTAATAATAACAAATAGCCGGTCCCAGTGATAATAGAATCAATTTCCTTAAATAAATCTTCCAGTTGCAATCTTATAGATAAATTAAAAAAAAAGTATTTAATAGAGATAAAGTCACATTTCTCAACAAAATTGACAAAATTGGTAGATACTCCATCATGATACAATCTTTAAAAATGTTAAATATATTATAAAAGTTATGCTTCAAAGAAGAAGAATATTGATTAAATGCATTTTTATATTTGTTAAAATATTTAAGATTCTAATTTTAATATAAATGAATTAAACAAGTTTAGATTAGATAAATTATCTATATTAAAATGTGGGGATATTTGGGTAAATTTACTGTTATTATTATAAATTGATCTATTTACTAAAATTTAACCATATTTAATTATTTTCACTCCTTTTCATCCACAAGAAAGGATTTGAGTAAATTTACAAGTATAAATTTATCTAGTTTGGAGTTAAAAGTTTCATGGGTGTGTTTATTATAGGAAAGAAATAGATGGATGAGACTATAGAAAAAAAAAAGTTGAGAAAAGAAAGATAGAAAACAAAAAAATAAATAAAATTAACCGTTTAGATTTTGGTAAAGTATAAATAAGTGAAAAATGGAGAAATTCTGTTTGGAAGGTGCATAATTTAGTTGATTTGATAAAAAATAAAGTGAGAGATAAAAATAGATGAAAAATAATAAGAAAATGAGAAAAACTAAGGGGATAAGGTGAAAAAACAAAATAAGACATAAAAAAATTACTTTTTCCTAGTAATTCTTCAATAAAGAGAAAACTTATTTAAATAAAATACAATAAGTTGTGTCCAATATTTTGGTAGGCATTATTAAGATGAGTAAACTAAACTTCTTTGGCCGAGTCATGTCATTTGATTAGACGTATTTCAATTTCAAATATATCATGAGTTGTTGCTAACACAATGCATCACACTGTGACTGTAACTTATAATGTATGTAGTAATAGTTTTTTTGTTAGAAAACAATATAATGTTGTTAGTTCTTATGATTTCATTTTCAATGAAAAGGAGATGGCTGGTTTAGAAATGAATAGCATCATCATGTGAAGCCCTCACATCGTCAACCTCAAACAAGAAATCAGCTATCAATTTTTTTGAAAAGACTAATGATAAAACTGATTATTTGATGATTATCCGAGACTTCATTACAGTATGAAAATGACATGAGAAATAAGTAGAAAGATAATTAGTTTGAATCCATCAGCTTTTAGCAGCAAACCATAAGGTAGGAGGAGAAAGTGAAATGAATTGCACATGCGATGCCTAATTGCTCTGTCTGGACATATTTGGCCGAGCACTTCCAAATGCATATTTTCTTGATTCATACGTAAGCTTACAATAACACCCATCTAATCTCAATTTCTATATATATGTTATCGTTGACTTTAATACCATGTTCCAAACCGCTAACCTTCACCATGACATAACCATTTCTATTACCTCAACTCCAGAACAAGCCCCTAGTATTTCATACATAGGATGAGCAGCAACACTGCGGTCAATTCCCCTGGATTCCTCGGCTCAAGCAACATCAGTGGCTACAGTTATGGCATAGGAATCTCCATTGGAATCCTGTTGCTCATCATAACTATCACTCTAACTTCTTACTTCTGCACCAGAACACATGTCTCGTTTGCTGCAGCTACCAGGAACAGAAGATTCACTCCGAATGTTCTTCAACCAGACCACTCTGTGGTTGATGTCAGTTTGGATGAAGCCACCATTCTCAGTTATCCAACCCTTCTATACTCTGAAGCCAAGGCTCGGAAGCGTGATTCCACTGCAACATGTTGCTCCATTTGTTTGGCAGATTACAAGGACACTGATATGCTTCGCATGCTACCTGATTGTGGACACCAATTCCACCTCAAATGCATAGATCCATGGTTGAGATTGCATCCCACTTGTCCAGTTTGTAGAACATCTCCAATTCCAACGCCCCTCTCAACTCCACTGGCCGAGGTAGTTCCGTTTGCTATCATACGAGATTCATAAATAGACCTAAATTCTCGTGTCGACCAGAGAAATGATAAATTTATAATATATAAGTCATACAAATTTTATTTTACACATTAGTTTTAGCAAAATTTTTATTTTTTGAATGTATTATTTCATCCTATTGTCTCGACTTGAGAAGTGTATTTTTTCATCCTTACTTAAGTTTTTTTCTTTCCAATAGTTATTGTTTCATCCTATTGTGTATCCATGAATCGAGATTGTTCGTCATAGTTAGTTCTAACCTCTAATCTTTACGTGATAAATTGGACTAATTCAAGACATTTTTACACGACTTTCATGATCTTGTTCCTATTAAAACGTTTTCAGAGACTGAGAAATGGATGAACCAAAGAGAAAAACCCGGTGTTTTCAGTCAATTTATACTTCATCCGTAACGAATTTGCGGTTTCATCTCTCATAGTTGATATAAAGAATTATCACAAGTGGGATTGCAGATACATTAATGTCAAAATTTAGGTTAAATTATATTCCTACCTTCTTTATTTTTCTTCATATTTTTCCGTTTCTCATCATATACTAAACTCTCTCGTGTTTCTTTAATGTTCGGGACAAATTGTTTACTTCTGGTTAAAGTTGAAAAAAATGGAAAAAATATAGATTACAAAATTCATTTTATGCAAAAATAAACAGAAAGAAACCGAGAGTATCCAAAGTGATCGTATATTCAATTACGTTCATTATTTAATGAATTGTGTTACAAAGATTTTTAAAATATGTTTCAAAATGGAAAACACAATAATTAATCGTGAATGATATTTCTTTTGCTTTTTATAATAATTTAAAAGTAATAGATAAAATTATTCATATAAAATAATATCGTTTTATATTTTATTCATATTCACTTTCTTTAGTATCCAAACAATTTTTCTTGCCTAATTTTCTTCCTTTAATTACTAAATGTCAGATCCATTTTTATGTTCTCTTTAAACATATTGATACATGATCAAGTATGTTAATCATTAACTAGAAATTTGAAAGTTAAGAAGATAAGACTAACAATAAGAAGAGTTCTTCATAATTTTGAATAATGAATTAAATCTCAAGTTTGAAGAGATCTCTTCGAACCTTTAATACAATAAAAATCACTTTTAAACTCTAATTGCTAGTGAGATTAAGCTATTTCTTAATTAAGAGTTAGTTTAATTCAATCCTTTAATTTTTTTTTTCACCCAACATATAAGGGTGAGTTAGTAGAGAAATTATTGGGTGTTTTTGTACTACCTTAAGTTGTTTATAGTTTCAGTCAATCTTTACGTGATACATGATTAAATACTGTTTATAATTTTATTTTAAATTTTAAATTCATATCGCTTAGGGATTGATCAACCATGAAAAAGTGGTAATTCAAGACCACTAATAATTTCTCCAGTTACTAACGATTATATTGAAAGAAAAAATCAAACTGAAGAAAAAGGGTAATTGATATTAAACAATTAGGATTCTAATAATATATATTTTACCTCATATGACTTGAAATACCAATTAATACTCACCTATCCTATAGATACAAAACAGAAAACTAAAGGCCCAATAATAAAAAAAAATGAAATGTTTTCAAATATAATATTAAAAAAATGCCGAAACTAATCCATTCACTTTCATGAAAAATGAATTGGGACAAATCAATTCGTTATAGTTAGAATGGATTTAAACTCTTAATCACCTTGACTTGAAAGCAAAATGAGACAACCTAGTAGTTTTTTTTTATAATTTTATTCATTTCCACACTATATATATCATCCAATTATCTATTAAAGATTTAAATGGTTAATTAGTATTTTTAATTAAGTAGAGTAAAGGAACTTTTATTTTTCTATCTTAAATTACTGTATTACGATTAATAATTACAATTTATCTCATAAATATTAATTATTATTAATTTTAGAAAAGGTAGGTAGATTAGAAGAACCATTTTTAATTAATATCAATTTGACCCACCAAACCAAATTCACATATTAAAAATTTGAACTCACAAACGTTACATCACCCATCACTAAAAATAATGTTATGTAATTGAAAAAATAAAAGGAGCATAACAAAAACTTGTGCCAATAATTGAAAAAGTGATGTCCTGAATGTGAATTCAAAGCCGAAACAACCAAAATAGATGCATGTTTTATGATATCATATCATATCAAATTCAAATCACCGCCACCATCAAATTCAACCTGCTTAATTCTATCATAATGCCCCAATAATTACTTTACAAAACTTCAACCAAAAGAAAAGTTACATAACAAAACAAATGCAATCATCCCAAAACTACCAAAAGCCAACGGCTACAGTATAAAACTATGCCTCAAACATAATCAAATAAAATAAAGTTATTCAGCGATTTAGTATGTTAAACTGTAATGCTTGATTAAATTTCATTTTCAATCACTTAAAAGAAAAAATAGGCCTTAACAATATAAAATATTAATCAATTTAATTATTAAAATTATAATACTGAACTGAATTAATTTACTAAATTAAAGAAGTATACGTTGACTCTAACGTGTATATCTTTAATCAATTTAATCTCTTCCTTATTACCTTGTATAATATATAACTAATAACATGAAATGTTTTGCTATATTTGCTGCATGCATGTGATACTCTCTCATGCATTTGTTACTTATCTATTTCATCCTAAAAATAAAATAGAAATTATATTTTTACACATACAATTTTTTATTTATTTATTTTGACAATATTTTTTTTATTTTTTTTTGTCAAAAAACACAAAAAATTATTTTATATAATTATTTTACTTTTATAATGTGTATGAAATGAATGTAAAAGTGAATGGTTCTATTATTACTCAAAATAAAAAGTAATACTTCATTCAACCTTTATGCAATAAATAAGCAAAAATATTTTAATATTATTACTCATCCTTTTTACCTATGTGCACATTCCAATTTTTCTTAAATTTTCATTTATTTTTACTTTCATCTAAAGTCATAGTAGCTAAACTATTGGTTTCTTCTCTAATAATAACTAGAATTATAACTAAGAAGAGTTATATATAGAGTTAACTTTGTGATAATAATGCAATGAGTAGAATTATAATCAATACAAAAATGAATCTATGTACTGTGTTGAAATCGAGCTAACTGCCATCAGAAAACTGCATTAATTGTTTTGTTGGTATCGCAGTTTTGTTTCCTAATCCGGCAAGGCAGCAACAACCATATAAGCATGTTTTTTCAAATGTCAAATCTTAGTTGACCAATTCCTAGCTCTTATGATTATCTTTTTCTGCATCATGTTAAAATGCCTATACAACACTTTATAACACTCAGTTCCTTCTATTTTACCAACATGCCCACTACACAAACCATTCATTTATATATATATATATATATATATATATATATGGAATTGATAGTTCCTACTTAATATAAACATCATATTTTTTTGTATGATGTTTAGTTTTTTTAATTTTTATTTAATATGAAACTTAGATTCTTAAATAATTATGGATGCATGTGCTTTGTTTCGTCAGTTTAATAGAAACTTGTACAGCATATAATAAATACAGTGACAAGCAATACTAGTCTTTGGAGGAGGGATACAGAGAGCATGAAAAAGTTGGCAAATGCATAGAATGAACTATGCTTTAAAGTTTACCAGTCATTGCATTCATGTGCTTGATTTATGAAATGCATCCAAAATGGTATACTTGTGCCTACACATCAATGTACAAGGGCTTATGGTCTGACACAAACGCGATTAAACATTGAACATGTTTGGTGGACAAATTATTGATTCGCTTTTTTGAAATAGACATTTAATGGTTGCAATGTCTATTGCTTTTTCTTAATTTTTTCTTGCAACAACTAATCTTTTTAGGTCTTTCCAGTGTGCTGCTTTATGTGCGTGATAACGGCATTTGATTGCGGATGGGGAAGGATTAAAAATATGCTGTCTCTGCACAAAAAATATTCGCTCATGTAAACTTCATTTCATAGGGAGATGACATTAACAGAGATTGACTTTGGTGTGATAAAAAAGCGCAGATGATGATTAAAGTTGAGAAGGGTGAAAGGTAATCAAACTGCAAAGAAATTGTAAACTTATTCTCACTAAAATCATGAAAACATCTTTAAATTTGTCTAAGTGAAATTTCGCAATAGACATTAAGTTTAAGGCAAAACCTCAATCATGATCGATCAGGAACTACTTATCAATCACATTAGTCTCTCGAGAAGGACTGTAGTCATCAATTTGTCGTTTACAATGTTACTAACATGTCGGTCACTATATTTCCGTCGACAAATTTGAGAACTTACTTTATAGTCAATCTTTTTCCACTATTTGTGTCTTTTCCTCCCTGCAATGTAATGGGAGTTGCTTAAAGATTCTTAGACTTAAAGAAGTTATTCTTGTAGTTTCACTGTATAAGAAATTGATGTACAAGTTTTTATATAAACAGCAATTCTTAAGAACTGTAATGTTGTGGTTCATTTTAAGTTTGTAATGATGGGAAGAAAATATATGTGAAGCTATTAAATCTCATGTGCACTGTGGAATCTGTGGGAAGACCCACGTCTAAGGTAAATCTAGATTATAAGAGGAGTGAGTTGAGCAATTTCAGCATGATGGTATTGCAGCATTGCATACAATTTTATTCTGATTCTATTATCCGAAAGGTTAGAGTTTGAGGAGAACGCGGCTTTTACCAGAAATATGTCGAATCATGATCATCGGCACACTTTGTCTCCTTTGCAATGGCCAAATGAATAGGTGTGGTCCAAGGGCACTCCCAGTGAAATTGGTACGAAACCAAGTGAATGATATGGTAAATTGAGATTGCATAAGGTTGGCATAGTTTCCCAATCAGATAAGCAAATGATATTGGGGAATATTAGCCACTTTATAGTTTTGAATTAACAGATATTCTTCATACTCCAAATCCATGATTGAGGCACCAAATGGTAGGTAAAGGGTCAGTCCCACTCTAATCTGATAAAAGATGAGGAGTGGGTATGGCCTTNGAGCAATTTCAGCATGATGGTATTGCAGCATTGCATACAATTTTATTCTGATTCTATTATCCGAAAGGTTAGAGTTTGAGGAGAACGCGGCTTTTACCAGAAATATGTCGAATCATGATCATCGGCACACTTTGTCTCCTTTGCAATGGCCAAATGAATAGGTGTGGTCCAAGGGCACTCCCAGTGAAATTGGTACGAAACCAAGTGAATGATATGGTAAATTGAGATTGCATAAGGTTGGCATAGTTTCCCAATCAGATAAGCAAATGATATTGGGGAATATTAGCCACTTTATAGTTTTGAATTAACAGATATTCTTCATACTCCAAATCCATGATTGAGGCACCAAATGGTAGGTAAAGGGTCAGTCCCACTCTAATCTGATAAAAGATGAGGAGTGGGTATGGCCTTGTCCCCACATCGTCCGGTGATCATTCAAAAGCAAACCCAACATCACACACACCTTTAGAATCTCCACTTTATATACTCTCTTCAAACCATAACACAAAACTTATCGTCAACCCCACTCATTCTCACCCTCTTCTTTTCTTCACTCACCAATCACAATCACATGCCATCCAATTTTCTAGACACAACAGGAATAATGGTGAGGGGAAGGTTCGTCAGAAAACTAAAACTCCTCCCAACCATAACCAACTTGAAGAAACAAGGCTTTGTTCTTCAAAAAAGGTTTCCAACCCCATATCATGACTACAAAGAAAACAACCTGTCTGAGCTAGTGCTTGAGGATGGTAATCATTTTGAGGAGGAAGAAGCCACCGTAGGGTCCAAAGAAATCACTAAACTTTCGGAAGAAAAGTTATCAGACAAGATGGCATCCGAAGAAAAGTTATCAGACAAGATGGCATCATGCAACAACCAATACCCATCTCTCAGTGATTTCAAAGAGTTATGTCCACCAGGAGGGAACCACTCGATCGTTCTCTACACAACAAGCTTGAGAGGGATAAGGAAAACGTTTCGTGACTGTAACACCATCCGTTTCTTGTTGAGGAGCTTCAAAATAGTGTACCATGAGAGGGATGTGTCTCTGCACTTGGAGTTCAGAGAGGAGCTGTGGAAAATCTTGGGAGGGAAAGTTATTCCTCCAAAGCTTTTCATCAATGGAAGTTACATTGGAGGAGCTGATGAAGTGGTTGGGTTGCATGAGACGGGGTGGCTCGGGAAGTTTCTAGAAGGAACACCAACTCACTCTAGTGATTCTCCTTGTACTGGTTGTGCCAACATTGGATTCGCCATTTGTTCCAACTGTTGTGGAAGTTGCAAAGTGTTCAGTGCCAACAGGGACAACAATGATGAATGCTTCGTTAGATGTCCTGATTGCAACGAGAATGGCCTTGTCAAATGCCCTGTTTGCTGCTAGAGATTTATATACAACCCTTGGTGCGTTTGATTTCTTTTTTCAGTTCATATTTCTGATTACAAAAGCATCATTTCTATTTTCACTCTATATTTTCTTTTCAAAAATTTGTTAAGGAAAAAGGTGACAACAAATTTACTTTGGTTGTTCTCACCGATTTCTTTATAGATTTGTGAAAATGAGAAGTAGAAGTAAAAATAAATAGATGTTTTAATAATTGTTGGCATCAACTGAAAAGAAAAAACAAACCAAGTTGGCCAAATAAGTTTTATATCATTCTTCTTGTACTATATTATTGATATTTTTTGCTCTTTAGCCTTGTCTGTCTCTGGTTCCTTAGAAATGGACATTGTATGAAACTCGTACCATCAAATGTAGAAACTGCAATACAAGCTCATGTTGTGTAGTGTGACAGGTAAACATGTCACTCGGTTATTAATAGGTTGTACAGTGATTTTGAATGAAAAATTTGAGTATCGTGTTTTCATAACAACAGTGCGTAGATTTAGCTTCAATGTATAGAATACAAAATAAAAAGAAAAAGGAACAAAATGTAGAATACAAGAATATAAAATTTGTATTTCAATCTGAAAATGTTTCGAAGTGGATAGTCTGTATATTTTGGAACTGAACATGAAAAAAAAATAATGATAAAGATAAAACTGGAATTTTAAAATGTATGGGGTGCAGGATAAAATTGAAGAGGTACATAAAGAAACAGCGTGCAATAGAGCCCATGAGATTGATAACTTTTTGGCAAGTATACCAAATCGTTCCAAGTAATACAGTGAATAAGTAAAAGTATCGTTATCCCAAGGGACTTGCTCAACACATGACAATTCTTCCTTTTATAACTCAATTAGACATGAAAGTGTACAGAAAAAACACAAGAAACTCTTTTTGGTATTTTTATCAAACAGTTGGTGTGCATGGAATTATATTTAAAAGAAACTTCGTTGGAATTGAGTTTCATGAATCATATGAATATAAAACTCTGTTCAATATTTCATTACTTCATTCAAACATTCACATCAAGGCATACCAGTCCTAATCCCTTAGCAACTAGTTCTAAATTAATATATTAAAATGATAATCCCTTAGTCAATTTAATATACAATTTGCATTAAGTCTGATGTTAAGAATGATCAAGTTATTGAGTCTATCCCTAGATCCCAAATCACTTAAGTGCTCTATCTACGTTCATGTTCAAGTTACTTTCCAGTAATAAAAGACATTCAAATAACATCATATTTTCATACAATGATAATAAATTCAAGATAGAGCATATGAACGAACAACGATATATTGAACAGGAAAATTACATCACAGTGAATTCATTACATCCAATCCCAACGAAAGAGAAATTTAACTACTCCTAGTCATCTAAAACGTACACATTTGAAGCAATCCCTTGCAACAATGGTGTCTTGATGCCTTGAAGTAGTCTCTGGAAGTTCCTGAGATGTTTTCGTTTCTTTCTTTTGTCCGGAGCTTCTGTTAGAAGAAGAGAGTTTCTGTCGCTCTGTCACGTCTTTTAAAGCCACTTAAATTCATTAGTTCGCTTAGCGCACATGTACTGGTGCGCTATGCGAATTTTCTTAACTGCTGTATTTTAACTAATGTTATTCGCTTAGCGCACACGTACTGGTGCGCTATGCGAATTTTCTTTTTCTGGCAGTGCGAATTTTGGCTTTCGCTTTGCGAAAATTGGCTGACAGAATCTAAATAATACATTATTTCCTGTACAATATTTTACATAACAATCTACTACCTATTACAACTTTTCAATGAGGAACAACATGAATAATTACAAGATTGAGTTCATTTATAAGTATAAAAACAACTCTTTTTGACGCTTATCAGAGATCCATCAAGTTCAGGTCCATAACCATATGGAAGAAGTCTAAGATCCAGTACTTAAGAGGATTCATGACAAAAACTAAAGTGGTTCACTCAGAATGAGAAGCTCAATTGCTAGAATTTGATTATTTGAACCGAAGTTTAAGCAAGTTTACCTTAATCACAAACACAGGTTAATTATATTTTTCCTTTTATTTACTTCTAAGTATAAAGGAACTAAATTATATAAATTATTTAAAATAAATGAAATATTGTTAATTATTTTAAGGGTGAAAATTTTGTTGATCTTATAAAAAAAAAGTAAAATGTTTATAGTGATCTTTAATTGTTTGTGGAGTTAACTTTTTTTTATCAAAATATGAAATTTAATATCGTAAATTTCATCAGTATATTATGAATTAAAGGCTAATAATTATAAAAGAAAATATATAAAAATAAATTGTTAATATACATATCCCAATATATTATAAAATATCTTTAAAATATTTATCATTAATATTTAATGATATAATAATTTATTATTATATTTTATTATATTTTCAAAATATTATAATATAATAATTGATTATATTTAAATAACAACCATGAAAGAAAAACTTAACTCAAAGTTATATAGAACTTAACTATAATACTCAACTCTCAATATATTAAGAAATATATTTATAGTTAATATCTTATAATATAATAACTTATTATTATATTTTATTATATATTTAAGATATTATATTATAAGAGATTATCAAATATATATATATATATATATATATATATAATTTTTATTTTTATTTTATTATTTATAATATAATTATTAATTGATTTTGTAAAAAATATAATTATTAACTGATTTTTAAAAATAACTGCTATTTTAAAATATTTTATTTAAAATTGTGATGAATTTGTTTCTTTTTTCTTTATTATATTTATAATTTCTAGAATTTTTTGCTACTCTCATCCTTTTTCTCTTATATATTAATTTAATCTATTTACATATATTATTGACTTATAATATAATATAAATATTTAAAAAATGCGAAGACACAGTATTTACGCTAGTATGTTGATATTTTATAATATATTGAAAGTATGACCAGTTAATTTATACTTCAATTAAAAATTAAAATTAAAAAATAAATAAGAAAAGAATTTGTTCAAACAATTATGTAGCACAATTATGGAGGAGACATGTATTCTTTTAATTGGTATAAGTCCTATGACATTAAAAAACAAGTATTTCACTATGTCATCAGTAAATCGCACATGATACTAATACCATTCATATAAAAATATAGGGGCATACATTACCATTGGCAAAAACACGTACGTAGTAGGGAGAAACATGACTTTACTCATATATTAGTTCACGTGCAATGAAAATTAAAATAAAATTAATTATATAGAAAAGTCAATTTTATTAAAATTATAATGTCAAACTTATAATAATGTTTGACTATTCTTGCATTTGGAATATGTTGTTTTATTATGAATTCAAAAATACATAGAAATTTATTAGTTGAGGATTTATCTTCTACGTGTCAAAACATGCACTTATTTTAAAAGAAAATTATAGGATCATTCACATAGTAACCTTCCTAAGAAAAGATTTCAAATATAAGCTCAACTCATCGTTGTCAGCATAAAAAAGCTTAAAGGGAGTATCCATTTGTTAATCTGATTCAATTAAAAAATCATAAGAATATCAATGGTTAGCATAAATTTCAATTTACAGTGTGATTATATAGAATCATCATTTAAAGCTAAAGTGTATTGTGTTATTCGACCTCTGGAGTTGCATAACAAGACTGTAATAGTTGGGTATAGTGAAACTCAACTTGCAGGAGTCTGTGATGAAGGGATGTTGAAGAAGTGATACCTTTCTTAGCATCTACTTCCAGTTCTCTTATAGGTATTGCAGCTAGGAAGCTTTTAATGTATTCTTTACATGCTTCCTTACCTCTGCAACATATAACTTCTTCTTCCTCACTTCTCAACTGTGCATCTTTTCCTTCACCAGAATCCATTTCCTTCTTTACTGATACTTTCGCCATAGTTTGTTGGTCGTTGGATGTTTTACCATCTGATATGCGAGGAACATCTGGCATTTTGTAAATCATCGTGCTGCTGTCAAATTTCAAGATATATGCTTGATTACACCCTTCATAAAGTCTTTCTCCCAGAGTGTCAATGATGTAGTAACAATCAGATTCAACTTTGAGAACGAAAAAATGGTCATTCCAACTAACAATATAAACATGAGGTTCACCAGTACCAGGACACTCTTGTTCAATACAACTGATCTCATCCCAAATGCTATCAAATGACATGGCACCATGTAAAAAGTCGAATTTCCCTTCATCCATGCCTTCAGGATGAAAAAAACCAACAAAAGATTTTTCGCAATCCACGGTAAGCGAACGTATTTTTGCTTCAATAATTGTTTCCAGGTCGAAATGCTTGTCGGGGAATCGCTCTTTATAGGTATCATTGTCGCACAGTTTCCTCCATTCTGATGAGCCTTCTCTGATTAGACTATCGAACTGAGACTCTATGGGCATGAGATCACGATTATTTTGAAACCAGTCAGCAATCACAGCAACAAGAGCTGTGCATGCACTCTCACCTGCTGCACGCTCACTGCGTTGATCAATTGAAGCAAAGAAGACTTGTGTCTGAAGCTTCATATGACCATCACGACTCATGATTTCTTTCTGCTTCCAACTCCCAACCACGAAACTGTCATCCCCAAATTCAGATATCGATGATCTACCTACAGATGTGTCCTCCTCAGTCTTGTACCACTGCATTAACACGAATCAAATAAACTACGTGTGCAACAAGACTTTGAAAACTCTACAAAAGTTTATGGCTTTTGCATCATACTTCCTATGAACATTGGACTATTATACACTATGTATTTGTTAGTTTACAACCATTAGCACAAAAATTAGAGTTAGGCTAAAACTGTCCTCCAAAAATAACATATTGCGAAGGTTTGCAAAACATATTCAATAAGAACAAAAGAAGTTTTAGTTTCAATTCAGAAATAGTTCTTACACTCAGAGAAAGAGAATCATCGGAGCTAAGTTGACGACGATCAAAATCTATGTCATCACCGCCTTCTTCTGCATACGCCTTCTTTAACAACGGCTCTCCCTTGTAAGTTTTTGGAGATCTGAAACTCAACTTCCTCTTCCTCCATGGAAGTATGCTGCTTTTAGATCTTCGTAAATAAGGCTCGGAAGAAGAAGAAGAAGAAGCAGAAGGATCTTCCATCTGTGAACACTCAACATCAAACTTCGGTTGGCTGTAATAAACCCAATCTTCATAATTTTCTCTCATATCGGAATTAAAAAATCCACCAGCATTTGCAGAAGCCAATGTTCCATAACGAAACGACTTACTGACACTGGAATACTCCTTCCCTTCATCCGTTTCGTGTTCATCATCAGAATCAAACCACTCGGTATCCAAAGGATAACTATATTCACCATCCTCACTTCTAGAGGATCTACCTTCGCTTCCCTCTTCTTCAGGATACCCCTTTTTTGCTTTCTTGGAAGATACCAACTCTGTCAAAAAATTTACTTTCATACAACCAATTGTAGAAAGCTCACTTTTTTCTGCCAAGGTTGTTTCTCGTGACTTGGTTGAGCGCAATGACACAGGCACCGTAGATCTCTGAATTGACTCCAAGCTTTCTCGGGAAACTCCTTGCTCTGTCAAGCTAATTGATATCTGCACACAATCAAAATCTGTTGAAACAAATGCAAATACAAAACTTGAAAGCTGCTATGTTATATAGAAACAGAGAGGCCTGTACACTACGGCATGAGATGAGAAGAAAGAACTCAGAAAATGCTGTGAAAGAGACTCACACACAGTAAAGGAGAGGACTCTGCAGAACCTCCTGTTAGCGTGAGTGGAATGTTTAAATCGAAATCCTTCTGATCAGTCGAAGCTGCAAATTCAGCAATATTCAATAACTTCGTTCCAACAGCAGCCTTGCTTTTCGACTTCCGATCCGATATCTGCAAAAGAGAACAGTCCAAATTCCCTTTAGAGAAAATGATAATCAAATTCGTCACTCATTAATCGACCAAAATTTTAAAGGAAAATACAAAAACCATATATCATATAGACAATAAAGTCAACCAGAAGTTGGCAACAGAAGAAAATGTCCAGTTTTTCAACTAAATCTCTTGTTTGTAGTGAAAACCCAAGAAGTAACACAGTATTAATACCTTCATTTAAAAGGGAAGATGGGCAAATGAAACAAAAGACAAAACAAAATTCCGAACAAGTATTTTTCAAATTTTATTAGCCATCCTTTTATAAAGATTTTATTTAAATATTATGTATTAACATTTTTTAAGCTAATAAATTAAATTATAAGTGATATATATTAAAAGTTTAAGATACATTAATCACTACTGTCTTTTTGTTTCTTTTTCTTTTCTTTGATGTCGTTTTATAGATAAAAGAAATCAGAAAACTATGGCAAATAATATGTTTATGACTTTAATGACCTAATATGATTGGTTTTCAGTAATTATTATCGCTACATAATTTAAAAACATATTATTTCATCCATCCATACGATTACAAAAAGGATACAAATTTTATAACAATTGTAATGTTATTTTTCAAGTACATAACTTTTTTTATTTAATAAATATAAATAACTTTTATTTAATGAAATATACAACTATATAATTTTTTACCTAAAATTAAGTATGTAACTTTTTCGCTTAAAAATAACTATTAGGTACAATTTTTTTTTCAATTACCTTTTCGAAATCCTATTATTTAAAAAATCTAAAAGAATATTTTTTTCAGATGAATTAAAACTTTGCCGTTAACGACGTTATATCATTATATTATAAATCAATATAAAATCTTTAGCGCTTGTGAGACTGATGATAATATTACGTCTTTAAAAGAAATATTTTGTGTATCATATATTTTTTAATATTTTGACAAATTATTTATATAATTAATATTTAAAATTACTTTTTATGACTCTTTTTTTCATGAAACGAAAATTAGCCTCTAAAGTTTGTTTCTTCCTGTGACAATCCAAAAGAACCGATGATCCAAAATCATCATACTACTAAACAACCTTTAACAAAAAACTCGTATGATAATACAAAATCCCCCATCTCCAAATTCAGTTCAAAAAGTCTTTTCTTCTTAATTGGTGAATCCAATTTATAAATAATTTAAAAAAAAAAATTGGTTGAGATAGAGGAACTAACATTGAAGAGAGTGAAAGCGATCTCCCATGGCTTAAAGAAATTGTCCCTGTGGCCATTCAAATTGCATGACGTTTCAAACTCCTCGTCCCAGTCAACCACGGTGGCGGTAGCGCCGTCCACGACGGCCTCTTTCGTAGAATTTCTTGCGACGGAATTCCGCCGCAGAGAGCCGAGCGTCATCTTAGAACCCTTCCAGCGAATCTCCACGACTAATCTGGAACCTTCCCGTGCAGCGTCCGGCAGCAGATCACAGCCCTGGAGCCTCCGCACAATCAATCTGACTATGAAATTCTTGGAGACGGGCGGGGGCCATGGCCACCACTTCTTCATCCTCACCACCATTGGTCTCCTCCTGTTTTCTCACTGTTGTGTTATTCTATGGTGTCCCAAAAAATGATTGAAAGCGAAAATGGTGTTGGTGGAAAGAAAGAAAGTTAAGGTTGTTGCTGATTTATTTATGGAGAGAATGCGCTAAGGGTGACTTGGTCGATCATAGGTTGCGCTACTACACATGTTAAGAGAAGAAGTCGTTAGTTTGAGTTTTAAGAAACAGTTTATCCTTTGTTACTGGTTGGTTAGTTGGATGGATTGGATTACATTAATAAATAATACACCATATCATCTTTAAAACTATTTTCAGTTTTTTCCCTTTAACCAAATTATACATTTTTGGATATTCTAAATTTAATTTGATGCAATTGTCGATTTTAGAAATTAATATTTTTTTATATCAATGATTTCGTTATATATATATATATATATATATATA